AAAGTCGCCTCAGCCTTGCCCAGGCCCCCAGGAAACCATCCATCTGCCAGCACCGGGACAGTGCCGCGTTCCCGAGGAGCCTCTGCCAGGCAGGGCCCCTCAGAGACCCTCCTCAGGGATGTGGGAAAGGGGAGCCCTCCATAGACACAAAACGAGGCCAGGAGGACGGAGGGAAAAGGGCAAGAATATCCATTTGGTAGCTTATAGAGGGGAAACGATAAAGGAACTGAGGAAGAATTAGAGACAAGTCAGAGTGTGAGGAACACAAGTCAGAGTGTGAGGGTTTCTGAAGTGGGGCTGTGATGAAAGGCTGTTCTCATGGCTTTGGGCCAGGGAAGCACAGGCTCTGGGAGGGAGCCCTCAGCACACAGCCCTGCAGAGCTGGGCCTAAGAGAGTCCCACATGAGGCAGCCACTCTGCAACAGGCCTGGCACCGTGCCTAGGGCAAGCAGCGTCTGCAGCAAGTAACCCAGGTACTTCTCTGTCAAGTCCCCAGGGAAACACTTCCACTGTTTATTGTGCACGAAAAGCACTTGAAAATTGAGTGAAAAAGGACTTGAAATAACGTCCTGATGTGTTTGGGCAGGGGGTGATCAATCCCTAGGTGTATTAGAGCACAGCAGGCTAGAGCTGAGCAAGAACATCAGCGCAGTGCTAGCAAGACTGGCATAACATCAAGTTTTTATAGCTTGTAGAAATGGGAAAATAGTTTCATTCCTTATGCCTAATTGCTAATGAGAAGCCTCGTTTTAGCAGGAAGGAATTTCTCCTTCCAAGAAAATGGAGAGTTTTCTTGGACAAATCCAGAAAAAAAACTCAATTATTATTATTACTGTTTTTTCCAGAAGGCAGAAGAACAGGAGGTCCCTCTCTGCAGCTTGTAGATCAGGTCTCCTCAGACTGTGATGATGGTGAACTCCCACACTGGCCTGGAGCCGGCGGTGAGGCCCATGGAGCAGAAAGGATGGTGCCTGCGACGCAGAGCGGGGCGAGCAGCTCCGACACCGGCTCTTTAGCTCTGCCCCTCCAGCCATCCCTGTTCCTACAGCACTGCCACTCCCTCCTTTTATTGTGTTTATTATACACTTCAGATCCTCTTCCCATAACAATACTCTTTCCACTCAATTTTATGGAAAGAAAAATATCTCCTATGAAAGAATGTGGTGAAATAGAAGTGAAATGGTTTGGAGTACATGAATTACATGAATCCTAAAAAGACATCCCATTATGGAATGGTTCCCTTCCTCCCCAGGCAGTAACCTCAGACTCTACCAGATGTTCCTGCTTAGGGAAGGGTATCTGATTCTGAGTTTGGGGTCTTTCCAAAGGGGAAGGGAGAGTGTAAGCTAAAAATAGAATGGGTGGTCTGACTGAGTGCAAACATAGTATCTTCAAGTATCTTCATTAGATCTTGTTAAAAATTTGGAATCCGTTTCTGCAGGCTGCACCACTCAGGTCCGGGAGATACACATGAGGAAAACAAATCCACTAAATAGACTGAAGACAAGCCAATATGTTTAAGCCAGCACAACATATGGATTCTCACATCTCCCAGCCTAGGAATGGCTATTCCCCTAAGATTCCTTGTAGATTTGCCCCGACTAAGTGAAACATCCCTGTCAGTATATGATGATCAGGGGCCTGGAACATCTGCCCTATGAGCAAAGGCTGAGGGAGCTGGGCCTGTTCAGCCTGGAGAAGAGGAGGCTGAGGGGGGACCTGATCAGTGTGTATAAATACCTCAAGGTGAGGTGAGGAGGAGGGGCCGGCCTCTTTTCAGTGGTGGCCAGCGACAGGACTAGAGGAAACGGCCACAAGCTGAGGCACCAAAAGCTCCACAGGAACTTGAGAAAACACTTCTTGACAGTGAGGGTGACAGAGCCCTGGAACAGGCTGCCCAGAGAGGTTGTGGAGTCTCCTTCTTTGGAGATCTTTAAAACCCGCTTGGACGCAGCCCTGTGCCCCGTGCTCTAGGTGACCCTGCGTGAGCAGGGGGGTTGGACTAGATGACCTTCCAACCTTAAGCATTCTATGAATCTATGATTCTATGAGTATATCCTGTACATCATGTATGTCCTATCCTTTCCCTTTAAAACCTTCCCTGTTACCAAAGGATTGGTTTTATTCTGAACATTGCTGCCTCCATACTTGCTCTTCACAGAGATGTGGAGGGATCATTTCATAATAACTCCTGCACCAGTAAAATATCCTTGAAGATCTGATTCCTCTGCAGTTCTGTCTGCAGGACCTCGAGCTTTCCAGTCTGCAGTTGGTATCAGGTGAGTCTTGAGGCCGGACGCTCAGGAACAGGTCACAGTACTCACACAAAAAAAGAAAACTAAATTCTAATCTAAAGAGAACCTGAACAACTGCAGCATAGCTCAATTTCAGCAAACTCAGACTCCTCTTCAACCTGTAAGTGAAACTGCCCTACCGATCTGCACCTCTCGATTCAGACAGATTATAAGCAGAAAGGAAGATCTTTTGTTGACACTTGCAGCCTGTGACTAAAATGTAAATCTGCCTGGTAATTATTTCATATGGAGCCTTCACTGCCTCGTATGATCACAAAAAAGCCTCTAACGTTTCCTGCCAAGGCAATCACATCGACAGCTCAGCTGCCCTTTAGCCTACCAAAAACTCCACATCTGCAGGTAAAATGGAGTTTGACTTGTTTTATATCCATGGCAAGCAATCTCTAGGAATCAGAAAAGTTATTTTTTTAATGCCTCTTAATTGATTTCACACATGCCTTCATTTCACACACGCACACATAAAGTTTTCTTGGCCTCCGTCAATTGGCATTTTCTCATTTGCAATGTCTCTCTTCAGGAACATGGATGTTATTTGATGGTGCAGCCCCAGCATGCCCAACGCTGCTGCTGTAGCACCCGTTTGAGGACGATGGCACCTAGGCATCCCAGTGCACAGACAAACTTATGTATAGAGACATTACAGAGAATTCCAGATATGTCAGCTGTACCCCAGTGAATGGGGAAGAAGATACTTTCCTGCAGACACTGAAATCCAGGAACATGGCTCATATACTGATTTCCACCTCCCTTTTCATCTTGTAGCTGTGACAGAACCACAGCTCTGTGGAATAGTGATATGTGCAGATCACAGATAAGATGAATAATCATGAACAATGTTCTTTGTTTGTATTATTTCTTATTATTGCTGCGAAATGAGAAGCAGTCACTGCAGTTCCTGGGAGTGTGTGGGCAGGTGAGATCTCTGGTTTCAGAAATTGTCCTGTCTCTTGTGTCAATAAGCAACGTGTCTCTTGTGTCAATAAGCAATAAGCCTTCACCACCATCACTCTCCTGGACCCATCAAGCCCATGGGATATTGTCCAGTAAGAACAAAGAACAAAAAATAACTAAACAAGTAGAAAAACCCTACAAATCCCTAACCTGTGCAGCCCTTGCCTATGCATCACTTGATTGAGATCCCTGTGGCCCTAATTTTTGGGAACTCCAAGAGGTGTGGGTGCCTATGTGCACGAAACTCAGCACATGTGTAGCTTCAAAGGCAGCAGAGCTTTCCGGATTCTCCTCGTTCCTGTGGGCTGGGCCCAGCATCCCCTCCCAGTCCACTCTGGAGAGAAAAGTCTGGTTTTCCACACCCTTTCCCTTGCCCCCTGCCTCTGTGCTTCTCTCCCTGCACTCCTCGATGGATTTTTCAGGTGGATGGTGTCCAAGGGAGACAAAGCCTCAGCAGTGGCGATGGCTCAGCACGAATTCAGCAGGACCAGCAGCGAGTAGCCCAGATTTTCCACCTGCTCTGGCAGGTCACTCCTCACAAGGTCTGGTTAAAAAGAAAACCCACTCAGTGGGCCAGATTAAATAGTCTCAAATCAGGAAAAACAGGAAGAAGGGCACTACAGGAAAGAAGGGATTTTCCACCTCTTTAATACACTCTGCAATGTGACATGGTTGTTCTGGGGTTTCTGAAGCAGGTTGCTCCAGCCATCTGTAGAAATTTCCATAGCTCTCGTAGCTCCAAGGACTGTGGATAATGCTGCCCTCACACCCATATTTTTCCTAAAACTTCAGCCTGACAAGCTTCAGGATTTCCTTGAAAGTGAGTGGGTTAGAGAAAGTAATAAGAAAGAAGTAGTAGCCACCATTGAGTGGCACTTTTTGGGCACTGGCAGCCAGCCTTACCACAGGGTCATCTCAACATGGGCCACCAGAGATTTGGGGGGGATAAGCAGCTCAAAAAATTGCTTATCCATTTATTCCCTCACCTATCCAGACCATGGTTGTACTTAATCACTGACACTCAACACTCATTGATACTTAAGAACGTATGTTTTTTGTACAGCATGTAGATATAAAGTACACTGTCAGGAGCAAAGGAAGCACAAAAAGTTAAATTACCTTGGTGAAAAACATGAGACATCCCAAATAGCAAACTGATATTTCAGTGAGAGTTTAATAAGATAAATTGAGGAGCAAAATGATTTATTTGGAATTTATAGATTTTTCAGATTTTTTTTTTTTTTTTTTTTTCAGAACAAGTTGCCATGAAAATATAGCAAGAAAGGTTAAGTGAATATTTGGGATGATGCTGGAATCATTCATGAGGGAAAAAGACTTACAATCACTAATTTGGGTTAACAGAATGTAAGATGAAAGCTAAACATGGAGATATATTTCAAAAGAGTTTAAACAATTCTATTATTATAAACCCTGTCAAAAAGAGATTTAAAAATAAGTTTTCACAATTAAACTGTGTTCTTGTTTTTTTTAAAACATCTCTGCTAACTTTCTGATAAAGAGATTATGTGCATAAATGCCAATGTTTATTACTCTTACAAGACAGGCTGTATACACAGATTTCACTGAAGTCCTACTACATACATTTCTAATAGAATCATATGTAGCCCAGCAAAAAATCTACATTTTCTGAAAAGTATCTCTGTTTCGTTCCCTTCTTTAAATGCATTTCAGAGAATTCAGAGAAACAGGAAAAGAGAATCAATTGCAACTTACCTTACATTCGAGTAGATGACCCCGGTTTTGTTCAGGAAAAGCAATACTATTCTTTTGAGCTGCTCCGTAAGTGCTGTAAATTCAAGACAACAGATGATTGTTGGTGAGTCAAAATCCTTTAGAAGAAGTTTAAATGCTTTGATGACAAATAAAGCACTTTGTGAAAACTTATTTGAATCTTGATGCGCTTGTATTAAGTTTTGTAACTGCCTGTCTCAGCTAAATAGGCTCCCACTCCTTTCCTCGGACACTCGCCAACTTCTCTAATTTAAAGCAACTGTCAGCTCGCTATAAAACTCCGGCTGGAAGGACTGCAGCATATAGTGTGGAGCCGCGAGCAAGTGTCTGCTCCCGAGCGGAGCCCTGCGACACGGAGCCCTAGCAGGACCTGGGGGATGGCCTCCCTCAGGTGACATTCTGTCGCTTTTGGAAAGCATTATAGGCTAAGTTCCCCTCTCTGTAAAGATAGAGAGAAGCGGAAAAAATCATGCTCTTTCTGGCATGGGAGCCCCTCGGCGTGGGACTGGGGAGGAGCAGGATCTGCCTTGAAGTGAAGGAATAGGGAAGTACCTCAACGTGGTCAGTGCTCCAAGGTCCCCAAGGAGCCAGGTCCCCCAAACAGTCCAAAGGCTGATCACAGCTCTCCCTCATGTGGCTTTGTGGGGTTGCAAAAGCATCCTGTGCAGGTGGCTATCTTCTGAGGTACTGTCAAGGCATGGGCAACATGGTATAGGTAGCGAGGTATGGATAAGCAAGGTTTACAAAGGCATCAGCTTGCTGGGGTTGGCTGTACCCTGCATTGCGCACATGCAGGGAGTGCAGCATGGGGAATTTTGGTCTGCAGAAGAGGCTGCCTCTGCCTGTGGCAGGAGAATAATTTCTTGCCATTGCAACCAGTTATGGTTGAAAACACCTGGCCTGCATTTATGAATTAACAGTAAAAGGTCACCTTTTAAAAATATGAGTTCGTTATAAAAAGTGGCAAGCAAGCGGAAAGCCATAATTATCCAGGCTTAAATTTTGAAGCATTGCAGTGGTCTGGAGAATTTCAGTGCCTGAGCAGCAAGCTTCCATGTTAGCAGCATAACAAACTTTTGCAAAAGCATGTGCTGAATCCTTTCTGAAAATGAGGGTCCTGAAAAGCGTGTCTCAAACTGGCCTCCAAGTAGCACTTTTGGAAATACATCCAGCAGACCTGCTGATGCTAAAGTGATATAAGGTTTATCATTATTAAATGAGTTTGGCTTTGTCAGACATATTTTCTTGCAAAATGGGATACATTAGACTGAAATTTCCAAGGGTGTTTAATGTGCTTGAAAGAGGAAATGAATCTTTAGAAATGGAGCAGTCAATGTCAAAATAGTAATAGTGAAGTGACTATGAAAGATTTCTTTCATTTGATTGTTCTAATTTGTATGACATTTAAATATTAAGTATTTTGTACACTTAATGGAAAGTTAGCGAATATGCTCCTATGTGTTCACTCGAGATTAATAAAACACTGCTACCCATGATGAAAGATTTAAGGAAAACTAAGCATTTATTTCATTTCAATATTAAATGACGCTAATCAGGAAAAACCGTCCTCTGGTAGAAAATGATACGGACCTATCATAATGTGAAAGCTTCAGCACGTTAGTGATTTGACAAGTCTTAGTTTACCCCAAGTATAGCTAAGAGTATTTTGTTTTGCTCTGTGAATCTGCTGGTGGACTTGGTCATGGATGAGCAACAGTGAGAAGTGCAGATATCATCCTATCCTGTCATTTCAACGGACTATCAGAAACAAAGGTTTTTTGTATCTTAATCTGTACTTTGTGATCCAGCATATGGGGTAATATATTGCTGGCAGCACTGGAAATTTGTATTTGGTTTATCGTATACCTAGCACAGTTATGTGAAATATGCAGAATTATTAAAGATCATCCTGAGTATTACTCTCTTTCTCTCAGTTGGCCTCTCTCTGCTCCTGTTATGGAAATGTGAGATGCTGCTTCCTCCTCCTGAAGGGTTTTTCTCTGAGGAGCAAAGGATGTTGTCCCTGTTACACGGGGAAGAGCATGTTTTCCAATGGTCCGTGCACTAAATTGTCAGGATTCCTAAACCTTGACTCTGCAAAGGATTTTTCACTAGTTCTCATCATATCTTTCTCCATTGTATTTATCTACCTGCTTCGCAGCAATATGACTAAGGACACTGGTGAAGTAGTAAGGATTCATATTAATCCCTGTAATCTTATAGCTGCAATGACAAGAATCAAATATTGCTAATGGTCGTCTTTGGTGAACATTTTGTGCCCTCGAAGTCTATCTAAATACTCTATGATACAAAGCTAAAGCATGAGCCAATAGTTCAACTCTTGTCTTAGAGACGATTCCTTAGGGTGGGAGATGCAGTTGAAGCTTTGACAGAGGCAGAGGCAAGCTAGCTACAACTGAAAGAGAATATCAAAAATAATGAGTTGAACCACTGAGCTTTCCAGATTGAATGTGAGAGGCAGACAGAAAAATAGGGTGGAACTGAACAGAGTTTTGAAAGCCATGAAAATTTAAGTGTTCAACAGAAAATATAGGTTCCCTTGAGAGGTGTGGGGGGAATGGGACTGATATCATGTAAAGAAAGATGTATTTTTATAGGGTTGCTCATGGGTGCATATGATAGGCTCATTTTTGATTCCTCTAAGGTTAAAAATGGAGGCAACTATCTTTGATTTTAGTGTTCCACTAGCACACTGATTTTCTTGCTTTTGGCTTTGTCTAGACCAGGTACAGTAGAATCAACCTGCTTGCCACAGAAACTAGTCTGGTGATATTCACGCCATGCAGGCACAACACTGCAGCTCACGGGTTAGCAAAGATGGAAAAGAAAATGGACCTACATTTGTAGCACAGGAAATTGTTGATCTTGAATACCAAAAAAAAAAAAGAAACTATGCAATAGATGCACAAGAGATAATGTGTTCTGAGGAACATAGTCATCTCACCCCTGACAGGCTGTCATCTTTAATCCTTTCATGTGGCAAACAGCTGGGACCTTTTCTTGATGACATATTTAAGTCCTTTGTCTGACCAAAATGTTTTAAGATTCAGCAGGTTCTAATAATTATCGAGAATGTTTCCAAGACAAGTATCACCATCAGGAATCAAACAAAATCTTTCATGTGCAGTGAATCATTAAGCAATAGATCTGCAGGCAGGAAATAATATGACTTAGTGGAATAATAATAATAAAAAAGTGTCCTTTGATGCTGGGACTTGGGATTTTCCTGTGTTACGGCTGGATGCATTTATATTCAGATAATACTGAACTCAATTACCAAGATGTCAATGTAAACTGCTCAGCTGCAACACTGAGAGAATGAGCAGGTTTCTATGACACACTTTGCACTCTAGGAACTGACCCAGCTGCTAAAAGCCAGAAGCCTAATTCTCCCCTCATTTAGACAGCTGTGAATGAAAGTTGGCTTCATTCAGGTAAACAGAAATATGCCATTGTCCAGTGGCTATAAATGAGAAAATAAAACCGGCTGTCACATGGAACTCTGATGTCCATATACAGAAAAGTTTATATTTTATTGATGTTTATATTGCAGCTAGCCCTTGGCCTTTGTAGCTGGTCAGTAGAAGGATGTTCCCAGGATGACAATTGTTCAGTCCTAGTATAGCCTCAGGACATGGCAGAGACAGCTTTAAGACATGGCAACAATGGCTGAGGAAAGACCAGTGTGAAGGCATCAGATAATTCAGATTTTAGTATCCAGGAAAAAAGAAGTGGGAAGGATGGGTGCTCTGCTTTTAAGTGGTGGCTTTTTCCATTGGTGCACTCATCTGGAGATGCTGGGAAATTAATGACTGTGAGGGAAAACCCATCAATGACAAGCAGTATGTCTTGGTGCATGAGGAGCTGCTGGGGCCTCCTCGCACCTCAGGGAGGCATTCGAGTGGATTAACCCCACATGTATTTTTGTTTCTATATTAGATGCAAAGTATCATTTCAACAGGGCCTGTGACTTTCAACTGTGTATAAGTTATTCTAAGGCTGAATTTGCTAGAATACACTGTCCAAAGCTCCTTTACCCAATGAGATCACCTCACTAAAGTCATCCCTGCTCTACCTCTCCATTTAATCATCAGCCACTAATACAAAACTAACAAGAAGCAGGATTTAAATCTTTTCTGCCTGGAACAGCTTGGAACAGCTCTACTGCTGTACTTGTCTTCCTGCCATAGGTAGCTGTGCAAATGCAGCCTCCAGAGGCACAAGAACTTCCTCTCCATGAGATGTCAGCTTATCACTGTCCTTTATTTCAGAAGAACAAGGAAGCTTGCCTCCAGTTTATCTTCTCGGACTAGTCAGAATGTAATGAAAACATGCTTGACATTCAAGATAGTGTAATAAGAATGGCTTATATTTATTAGTCTTCTGCCAAGTGCAGTCAAGCAGCAACTAGAGATAAGTCTGAAAGTAGCAGAGATCCATTTAAAATTAGCTCACATGCTGGCTTGGGAATACTGGGAAACCAAATGCTTCCTCTAAACATTCTTAACAATTTTCCCTTCTTGGATGTACTGAGTTTGTATATACAAGAAAGCAAGCTCAGTTGCCCATGTAGTTGTTCCAGTGATTTGGCACCCTAGCTATGATGCCTTGCACTGCAGCCTGTCCTTGGTTAGAGCTCAGCAGCTATGGGGTGAAGCTGCTATGATGTCCATTACTCAGGACTGAAGGGTACATTAGGGAGCTGATAATACTACAGGCCCCTCATTCAAAAGCCCCTGTATGAAGAAGATTATAACCATGCACAAAGGTCAACCAATATTCCACTTTCTGCATACATCACTCTTGATTTATTTTAAATGTTGACACAAATCTACTGGGCATCACTCATGCAAACTACTTAATTTTGTTCTTCCCTTCTATTATGACTGGACAAAGTACGAAAGGACTTTTATTGTTTTTAACACTCCTCAAAGCTATGCCTGCAGTCAGGCATAGTCAGGCTTCAAGTTGTAAAGAAA